CAGGGAGCTTGGCTCCATTCTTCACGACTCTCTCCGGCTTGGCCGGATCGAGCGCAAAGTCGTCTACTTCCTCGGCTGGTTCTGCCCTCGGCCTCTCCTCCTCCTCTTCTATAGTCCCGGTGATGGTGTCCACACGGAACTCGGTTTTACTAACCTTCTTCGTTATTTGGAGGTAGCAGGTGCATGCGAGCTTTTGGTTCCCCCTTGAGTACCCGATGCCCCCTTCAACAGGGAACTTGAGGCATAGGTGTCTCATGGAGATGACGGCCTCCAAGCCTTCGAGGGCAAGATGGTTGAGGATGATGTTGTGGGCACAGTCGATGTTGACAACGACAAACTCCACCTCGAGCTTGGCTCTATGGAGCCCGTCGCCGAAGAGTACCGGGAGGGTTATTACCCCCTCAGAATCTATTGTATCTCCGGTGAAGCCTGACAGAGGGGTCCGGATAGGCCGAAGGGACTCCCTCCCCAGGAGCAGCTCCTTGAATGTGCTAAGGTACATTACATTGACGGAGCTGCCCTTGTCAACGTATGTTCTGTGGACAATGGTATTATTGATCTCGCTCTGGATCACTAGCGCATCCCTGTGAGGGGAGGAAGCCGGGGGGAGATCGACGTTGGTAAACATGATGGGCTCCTCTCTCAACCGCTTTACGGGGGGCATATGAGTGACCTCCCCTACGTAAAGGGCCTACGCCCATTTCTTCCTTTGGCTAGTGGAGTCTCCCCCCGTGTTGCCGTCAGTGGTCATGTGGATGTGGCGCTTCTTGTCTTGGCACTGGTCGTACCCTTCTTCCTCATCAAGGTTTCCGATCTCCCTCTTCTTGCCGTTCGGGTTACCGAGGGGGATCGCGTTCGAATTGATCCAGGCGTTTGCCTTTGCCTGTGGCCCTCGAGGGGGCCCCTGATGCTGGGGCCCCCGGACAAATTGGGACAGATGTCCCGCCTATATCAACCTCTCGATGGCTGTGTTCAGCTGATGGCAGTCGTCGGTTCTATGCCCTTGGTGCCGATGAAAACGACAATAAGGTTCATTGGGGTTGATGGCATATACCTTCGGGGGTGCGTGAGAATCTCGCTCCACGAGGCCCCTCTCCTCGGCGAAATCGAGGATGACGCTGACGGGGTGTGTCAGGGGTGTCCGAGGGTGCTCCAAGAGAACAAGTTGCGCCCAGTCCTTCGGGTTGTTTTTGTAACCTCCCCGGGGCTTGGCTTGGCTGTGCCGGGGGCGATCACTCGAGGGGGCCAGGCCTTTAGATTGATGGAATGGAGCCCCCGCCCCCAGTGGTTCCTGTCATCCTGCCTGGGGCGTTGTTGTTCGGGGTTTCGATGGGACCTCTCCACCTCCTCGGCCTCCGCGTATCGGTCTCCCCGCTGGAGGGATTTTATATAGTCGCGTGGAGGTTCGATAATGAGGCTCCTGGAGAAGTTGCCGGTATGGAGGACCGTCTGCAGGAGAGCCATAAGGGTCCTATCCTCGACGCCGTCGACCTTGTCCGTCTCTCGCCTCTAGCGCTCAAGGAAATCCCGATGGGTCTCCTCCTTTTGCTGCCTCACTGTGAGTAGGTGGGAGAAGTGCTTTTTGGATCGATGCCTTCCTGCAAATTGAGTCAAGAAGCGTTGGGCTAGTTCTTGCCAAGAGTCAATGCTGCCCTCGGGTAACCGGTTGAACCATTCGTATGTCGGGCCCTCCAGAGTGGAGAGGAACCAACGACACAGATATTCATCCGATGCCCCCATCATCATCATGTTGTTCTGGTATCTGCTGTAGTGCTCCTAGGGTCAGTCTTTCCTTCATAGGGCTTGATGGGTTGCCCTCGGTATTTCCCTAGAATCTGGGCCGCCAACACCCTTGGGGTGGATGGCGTCCTAGTCCGGAGTTAGATGACGGGTTCCTTAGAGCCCTCGGCAAATTTCTTCTGCATCTCCTCCATTTTGGCCAGCATGGTGGCGTATTTGGGGTCCGCTTGCGAGGCGGAGGCAGTCATTGTGGTCTTGGCGGGCCTTCATTTCATCAAGGCGGCGTTGGAGAGCCTCAATAATTTCGTCCCTGTGATCCTTCGGGAGGGCCTCCACCCCCTGTGATGGTACACGGGCCGAGTGGGCCTGGTTGATTTGGTGTCTGGAGTCGTCGGCATGGAGTGGTGCCTTTCCTTTGTCCTAAGGGGGATGCCTCTCGTCTGCCCTCGATACCGACCCCCCGCTTTCTTGAGGTCTTTGGAGTGCCTTACCACCGAGGTGGTCTTGGACCCCTCAGCTGTAACACCCTGGCCCCGTAGGCCCCGAGGTAGTTACTCTGGACCTCTAGTACTGTCCTCACAAACCGCCACTAGCCTTTTCCGCGCACTTTGTCCTCACTCGTGCGCGCCCTGAGAAACTTCCCAGGGGGTCACCCATCCCAAGACTACTCCCGTGCAAGCACGCTTAACTTTGGAGTTCTTAGCTGATGAGATCCCTTAAAAGGAGATGCATCTTGTTGGTATGAGTAGTACTATTAATCCGTTTAAATTAAATCTCAAGTGTTACAATCACCCCCACTTAGGATCGCAACGTCCTCGTTGCGCCCTTAACAATCTCAATCAAACCCCAGAATCTTGCCCCGCTAAGTGCCCGCCCGATATCCAACGGGTCAACACACTGTCGCAGGGTTGCTCTGATACCACTTGTAACACCCTGGCCCCGTAGGCCCCGAGGTAGTTACTCTGGACCTCTAGTACTGTCCTCACAAACCGCCACTAGCCTTTTCCGCGCACTTTGTCCTCACTCGTGCGCGCCCTGAGAAACTTCCCAGGGGGTCACCCATCCCAAGACTACTCCCGTGCAAGCACGCTTAACTTTGGAGTTCTTAGCTGATGAGATCCCTTAAAAGGAGATGCATCTTGTTGGTATGAGTAGTACTATTAATCCGTTTAAATTAAATCTCAAGTGTTACATCAGCGATCCTGCACCCCTCCAAGCCTCTCGAGGGCGGAGATCCAAGGCCTCTCTTTGTTCGCACCGCGCTGGTCCCGGGATTGGACTTCCTGGGATGCGGTGTCTTGGGCCATGACCCCTTCGTTGTTCCCTAGTCGAAGGATAGGGTTCACGAAGGGGGGCGGAGGTGGGGGAGGGATGGCGTTCTCCCCGACCTTCGGTTGAAGTGGTACCAGCGTGCCAAAGGCACCTGGATTCTAGGTGAGTGTTTGGATGAAGGCAGAAAATGCCGACTGTATGTCAATAGTGAGGACCGGAGGGCTCACTTGATTTTCGCTCTGGTCCCTCCTTCGGGTTTCGATGCCCAGGCGGACATCAGGAGCATTTTGCTGGAGCTGAAGGCGCAGGTCAACAGCAGCCTGTTCCAACCCAGTGATGACTCCATCCTCGGGAGCCTTGTTGGAGGCTCCGGGGGCGTCGACTTCGCCGAGGGTCAGGTTGTTGTCCTCAAAGGTCTTGGACTGGGCACGAGTGATTCTTCCCATTTTGGTAGGTGTTTTGAGCTGAAGGGGAGGGTTTCTTACTTGATTGTTCGACCTCTCAACGAGAGCACCAAATGATGGATAATGTACTCGAGGGTAGCTTATCCGAGGGGTTATTGCGGGAATAACTTAGAGAGAAGTCAGAGCAAATAAGTAAGAGAGAGAGTGTATATTCGATATGAATTCAGCGTGGTTTACAATGGGGAAATGGGTTGCTATTTATAGTAGCAATAAATGCTAGCTGGGTACACGTGTCAAGCATCCGACGGCCGAGGGTCACCTCAATCGGGGTGGCACCACCATTTGCATGTGGCCGCATTAAATGCAGTGGTTGGATGCGACGTTGGTACTTGGTACGGTGATCCAACGCATGTGGAGAGGAGATTTTGTCGAGGAAGACGCCTTCGGCTGTACCTAATGTGCCGAAGGCTCCGTGGGCCGGGGGCCTCTATGTGCCGAGGGCCGCAGGTGCCGAAGGCTTGGTTTTCAGCCTTATTCTCCTGTGATGTTTCTGGGTTTGATTATGTCAACGGCAGCCTTCGGTCATGGAGCCTAAGGCACCCCCTCGCATATTGTGGGCTGCTTAGAGCTTCATTTTGCTGTGCTTGGCCCGTTTGGGTCTGATTGCAGTTGTGGAAGTATGTAGGCCACGGGTCCCTGGACCATATACTCCATCATCATCAATTCCTTAAAGATTAGGAACTTGATTTCCTATCGGTGAGAATGTTGCTGACCACCGGGAAAATGCTTGCTTATCGGCCGCTTCGACTTCTCCAGATTCCTCGTCATATATATGCTTGTATTGATTCACAATGTATGCTTATATTCTCCATAAACTATTACTATAAAATTTTCATATTTTTAAGTCAATTACAAAACACTACTAAATTCGTTTTATAAGTTGGCTCAAGTTGAATGAAGAATATATTAGGCACATTTCTTATTAGAAGCTTTTTACCTTTTGCCTTTTACCTCACTTGTTAAAGTGTGTAATAATAAAAATAGTAAGGTTGAAGTTACTTATTTGACTAAATAAACTAAAATTACTTTAGAGGACTATTCTAACTATTTTTTTCACGTAATCCTCTTTTAATTTCATTCATACAATATATTTTAAATATAATTTTTGTACAATTCAGTGGATAGATTCATGTATGATTGCATAAATTTTCGCATATTCAGTCAATTCGGTAAATTTCAGTTACTAAACGGTCTCTAAATGTTTATACATTATTAAAAATGAAGTTATATATGAATAGATGCAATTGATATTGAAGTAATAAAACATAATTCAAATAATTATGAATATAAAAATGATCTCGAGAATAACATAATATTCCCAAATATAGTGAGAAAAAACTAAAAAACTGATATAAAAAGACAAAAGTATCCTAAAAGCATATCAAAAAAAGTTTGCCCTAATTTTATTGTCGGTAGGATGGATGATAGATGAAAACGTCATGAGACAAAATCTTTTTTTTTTTTTGAACCGTCATGAGACAAAATCTTAATACGCAAATACTTCATGGTCCAGACTAAAAAATCCCCATTTCTTGTTGTCTGCAAGTGCTGATAATAATATTAATAAAATCAGGTAGAAAGAAAGACGAAAACGCATGACAGGCTGCAGACCAACACGAATAATCCACATCAGTATCACGTTTCCTCAACGTCCTTCCCTTTATTGTCGCTTTTCACGCCTCCCGTTGATCAAATCCGATGCTGGGATGAGAATCCCGTCTCCCATCGGTAAAGTTTCAATCTTTTCTTCGAAACTGATTATGGTATTTGATTCTTGCATTGATTTTCCAAGTGGCATCTCTGATATTATAGTTTTTATCTTTGAAGATGAAGGCGAAGAGGAAGAAGATACTTCTTTCGTCTGTTTGTTTATGGTTCCCTTACCATTCCAGAAATGATTGGATTTTAAGGTTTGATTAATTAATTGGTGCAATCAGAAAATAGATGAGAGAAAGGAGAGATCTCGGACCCGTGCTTCTAAAATATGGGGTAGCTGTTGCTCTCTCTCTTGGGGGAGTTCTTTATACCATTTTGCGAAACAAGGGGATTAAGCCGTCCAAACGCACCCCTATATTGCCTCCGTGTACAGGTGTGTTCATAGTTTATTCTTTTCGAAAATCAGTTTGACTTTGAAATGGGATTAACCTTGGTTGTTAGTGTTTAGTGATTATGTCTTGAGGTTTAGTTTTTGTTTCTGTTTACTGTGTTTAATCTAGGGAGAAGTATGATGTTTCTAAAGTTTTCAGCTTTGTTTGAGTTTATGGATCTTTTTGCATCCCTGATCATATATGTGCTTCTTTTAATTAGTATGATGATCTGAACTTTTCTCCCACAGATTATGATCACTCTTTGCAGACTACACCTCGTGCTTGTACTTCTGGTTCTATGGCATCCAAGAAACTTGTAAGCTCTATTGCTGATTAATTTTGTTATGATTTTGTTTTTCATTTGCAGTTACAACATGATGTTAATATTTAATAATGATTGATTTGATGTAATCTTTTTATTGATGGAATTTTGAATTTTGCAGTTGGTAGTTTATCAATAGAGTACCCAAAAGATATTCTTTCAATCAAGGATATGAAAAATGAAAGCTGTTAATTTATGCCTTGAAAGAATGAAACTAATAGATCAATTCTAAGGCAAAAATAATCATACATATAGACTATATTCTTCTTTTAAATATTCTTTTTGTTCTATTTCAAATGAAAGTTCCTCCATTGATTAAAAATAGTAATTACTTTGAATTTGTGATCTATCAAGTCCTTGATTGATAGTTGTAATTATTGGTCATGAATTCCAAAATTTCATCTTTCAGTTCTTAATTAATCCCAAGTTCAAATAAATCTATTTTGCCAAAAAAAAGTTTCAAGCAAGATAGGTATGATATATTTATTTTTATAAAAATATAATAGGCAGACCTCACAGAAAGAAAGGATGATGGGCTGCTCTTGCCAGAGTTCAATGAGATTGTGAGGGACTTTAACTTGGCCTCCACCCCAACGACGGGGTTTTCTCCAAGAAAAGATGTGGATCTGAAATACCAAGTTTCGGCATTGAGGGATTATATATCTGTTGAAAGGGATGAACATGATGAAGAAGTTAGGAGGTTAAAGGGCATTGTTAAAACTCTCAAGGAAAGGGAGAGGGCCCTTGAGATCAAATTGCTTGAGTTTTACGGCCTTAAGGAGCAAGAAACTGTTGTAATGGAGCTTCAAAATAGAATAAACTTCAACAACATGGAGACCAAGCTTTTAGCTTTAAAGATTGAATCTTTGAAGGCAGATAAAAAGAGATTAGAAGCACAAGGGGCTGAGTATACAAAGGTAGCCTCCAAACTTCATTCATTTGTTTATATTTGTAATTGATTAATTTTTATTTGTCTTTTGTCTTTTAATTGTTTTAGGTAGTATCAGAACTGGAAGCAGCAAGAATGAAAATAAAGCAGCTGAAGAAAAAGATAAGGCATGAAGCTGAGAATAGGAAGGAGCAGATGTGTGCACTTCAGGAAAAGGTTATGAAGCTTCATGATGAGGAAAAGAAGGTTCTTGAAAACTTGCACCATAAAGAAAAGAAGGTTCTAGAAACAGAGTCAGAAGTTCGTAGAATGCTTCAAAGGATAGAGGACTTGGAGTTAGAAGCAGAAGAGTTGAGGGGCTGTAACAATAGTTTGAGGATAGAAAATTCTGAATTGGCTCAGAGGTTGGAATATGTTCAAATCATTGCCACTTCTGCTCTTGATGAAGAAGAGGTTATTCTTTCATTTCCTTTTCTCACATTTTACGCTTGATGTTGATACACATAGGCCTTGTTTGGATTGACTTGTTGGCAAGCGTTGTAATACTGGGAATTACATGCCCCGCTTGGTGGTAAAAATGACTTATTTCGTTATTTCACTTAATATTCTGATTTAGCTGAAAAATAATCTGAATATATTTAAATAAATTAAAGAAAAATATCTAAAAGAGTCTAGCAAACAGGCTTTAAATCACTTTAAGTCTCAAGTTTCCCTATCAACCCGAGGTTGAACTTTTCAACACCTCACGAGACACCTCATCTTATGACTAGACACATTGTCTTGCATTTTTTGTTGTTCTGCACTTCTGTAAAAGCCGGCTATAGGCTATTGACCAAAAGTGATATGATATCATATAATTTTTTTTGGGTTTTTTCAAAAGATTAAGCTCATAGGATGAGGACGTGCAATTCATGATAAAACTCATATTTGGGGGTCTTCTTTTTCCAGATTGGACTATTAATGCTTGGATGTTGTTGTATGAGACTATTAAAAAAACTTATGGATTTCCTTTTTGTTAGGAGAGGTTAATATGAAAACATGTGACCTCCGTAACAAGTTATAGAGAATCTTCACATTTTCTGACACCCAAATTCATCCAAATGTGTGACTTAAAAGCTAAAATCCACACAATGCTCCCATAATGATTTAACTCTTTTAATGACAGATGGATGCATTAACTGGTGAAGCAGAACGGTTAAGGAAACAAAATGAAGACATGGCAAAGGAAATCGAGCAACTCCAAGCAGACAGGAGTGCAGATGCCGAAGAGCTGGTCTATCTCCGTTGGGTAAATGCCTGCTTGCGCTATGAGCTAAGAAAATACCAGTCAGACCCTAGCAAAACAGTTGCAAGGGATCTTAGTAAGTCATCAAGTCCCAATTCAGAGGAGAGAGCTAAACAACTGATTCTCGAATATGCACATAGAGAAGGCGTGAGCCCGGACTTTAGTTCGGGCTGGTCATCTTCCCAAGCTTCACTTTTTACCGAGTCCGTTGAGCCTGCTAATGATGATAATTCATCAACAACAACCCGCAAGTCGGGGAAAAGAAAAGTTTTTGGCAAGCTAATGAAGCTAATGCGCGGGAAGGGCAAGTCGGGAACTTCTTCATCTGACAGCTCATTCAGACAATCTGTTAACAGATCAAAAATAGGAAGCTATCAAGATGAAGAAGGCATGTGCAGGAACAAATCGCCTCATCAAGAAAGTTTTCATAAATCTGAGTTGGAGAAATATGCAGAGGTTTTGAAGGAAGGTCGTAGTTATCTGCCTCCATCCAGAAGCAGGAGGTCTGCATCGTTTGGTTCATTAGCTTAAGGATGAAGTGATAATCTTTAGATTTATAGGATTAGATTAGGTTAGAACTGTAAAGCTATTGCTTGTCAAAACTTTTTCAAAGTTAAATAATAGGTACCAATGACTTTACAGGTATTCAGCATTTGCATACTACAAACAGTGAAACCGTTACATTTAGCTTTTTGAACTAAAAAAACCAATTTTTTTTTTACATGCTTTGATGAAAGTAATGGTGCGAGCCCCACTAATAAGTAATAACATGGTCTATCAAGAGGGTTTTCAAAACTTATACACCGTAATAATCTATGTACATTAATAAAATAATTAATTGTCCTATTTTATTAAACTTGCAAGAACAATTGAAAGAAACACTTCACATGCACTATCATGTTCTTACATTGACCCGATTTATTATTACAGCCTTTTACCTTAAACAAGCAATCTAGCATGATATGTAGTGTACCAGACAATGTTTTTTTCAATAAAAAAAATCACACATTCATACCATGATACTCCTTCCGTCCCATTTTATCTGTCATACTTTCTATTTTAAGTTATTCCAAAATAAGTGTCACCTTTTCACTTTTGAAAAGAAATATGTGGTCTTTTCATTTTATTATATTCAAATTTCAACATCAACTTTTACCATTTCAATCACTATTAATAATTGTGTCAAGTCAAAGTGAGACGCATAAAATCAGACGGAGGTAGTAATATTTTTTAGAGGAATTTTAACCTTGTACCTCACTTTTTGGGTAATATTGGACTTTACACCCCATTTTAAAAAAACTTTGAGTTTGCACTCCCAACACCCCACTTTTTGTGTGAAGACTTTTTTTGAAATAGGGTGCAAAGTCAAAGACATTTTAAGGGAAATGGAGTGCAAACTCAAAGCATTTTGGAAATGGGGTGCAAACCCCAATATCACCTTAAAGTGGAGTGCAAAGTCAAAATCCCTCTATTTTTAACAAGCTCTTATTCTATTCTAAATATACCGCGTGACCCATGCATCAGCTCAGATATACCGTCTGTTATTTATATGAAAGATGAGTGTCTATTTTTTGTGGGACATAAGAACTAACAAATAGTCAATAATTTAGAAACAAGTGAATGTTAAAAAACTAATAACTTGTAACCAAAGGTGAAGAATTGTTCAAAAAAATTAAGTGATTAGTTTTTTTTCCTGAATATAAGTGATTAGCTAACAACTGCTTTAAAATTACATATTTTTTGAATAACAAACAACTTTACCGTCTTCATCAAGCAAAGCTTGGTTTAAAAGCTTCGAGGGTCTTTCCACATGGCTTCCCCTTTCATTTCATTTCTAAAAGTTAATATAATAAAGTGAAATGTTGTAGAATACTTTTCCAAAAATGAAATGTTACGCTTACTTTGGAACAATCCAAAAAAGGAAGTAGGATGTGTAAAACGGAATGAAAGAAATATTATATTGTCTCCATTGTTTTTTGAAAAAGTTACAATGAACATACTTAAAATTTTTATTTCGAATATAGGCCTACTGATAAATTCTAATCTATCAATTTATCAAGTGTTAAATTTATCAATTTATGAAGTGATAAATTTATCAATCGTCTCCATTCAACATCTCCTTCTCTCTAAAGTTCAATAATAATAAAAAAAATACTAACAAACAAGGACCTTTAGATTTAGGTTTAGGTTTTCACTAGACTTGCTCCCCCACTCCAGTTTAAACATTACAAGCTTCGCCCCTTGAAAAAATATTAGGAAAAATCGATTATAATAATCCCAACTATTGGCGGTCCGCTTATAATAATCTCAACTATCGATTATTTCAGAATATTCCCAACTTTAGGGACCTTCCGCCAATAATAGTCCCTGTAAATAAGTTTATGTACTTTCTAAAGTGGATGAGAAGAGATATAACAAGTAATCCCTATAAATTATCCCTAACTTTTAATTTTTAAGCTTAATTTCTATTTAAAATTCACTTTTATAGAAGGTAATATTTGGTCATGGATCATTATTGACGGACGGTCCATATAATTGGGATTATACAAAAATAATCAATAGTTGGGATTATTGTTAGCGGACCGACAATAATTGGGATTATTATTTTCAATTTTTCCAAAATATTACTGGCTTCGGTTAAACCACACACGATACATTTTTGCTTCATAGATGCTACATCTAAACGATATGATGATTAAATATTCCATGTACAAGGTGTATATTTCAAAAGGCTAGAGCAAATATGTCTACCTTTTCCCTTGAGAAAGCGTTTGAGTGGTCAACATAGTTATTTATTTAGGGTGTGTTTGGGAATTGAGTTTTGGAGGGGAGGAGGTTAATGGGGGTTTATAACTCTCCTTTTTATGTTTGGGAGTTTAAAAAATGGAGGGGATGATTTTGGAGGGCTTTTGTAACCCTTCAAAATCCTCCAAATGATTAATTTTTAAGTTCCCCCAATTTGGAGAGTTTTGGAGGATAATTAACAAGATGATAATTTAAGCTAAATTAAAAATGAATATCAGCTCAATGATTTGAATTCGTCATATTTCAAAGTGATTTTAATTATAATTCCTTCAAAAACTCTCTTCTTCCAATTTATTACTCCCAAATTACAAAGAAGGACTTCCTCACCCTTCCCTCCCTTTGCCCTCCAACAACATACCTCCAAAGTCTTCCCCTCTCATTCCCTCCAAAAACATAATTTTAGGGTATGTTTGAAAGTTTGGAGGGAAGGGAAGGAGAATGGTTTGTAGGTATGTTGTTGAAGGGGGGAGGGAGGAGAGGGTGAAGAAACCCTTCTTTGTATTTGGGAGTAATAAATTTGGAAGAAGAGAGTTTTTGAATGAATTACAATTAAAACCACTTTGAGATATAACGAATTTAAATAATTGAACTGATATTTATTTTTAGTTGAACTTAAATTACCATTTCTTTAATTATCCTTCAAAACTTTCCAAATTGAGGGAACTCAAAAATTGAGCATTTAGAGGGCTTTGGAGGATCACAAAAGCCCTCAAAAACCATCTTCTCCAATTTTATAAACCTTCAACCATGAAAAAAATATCTTCATCTCCATATCTATCAAACCCATATTTTCCTTTTAAATTTATATATGCATACCAAGTACCAATAGTATTTTTTTTAGAGTCATACGATGTAGACAAGATATAGAAACTCATAACTCATTACAAGTAAAAGCTATTTATGACACCTGAAAAATTGACATCATCTTAACTTGAAATGAGCAAAATTTAATGTGTGAAATTGATTATATTCTTAAATTAAAAAACAAAACACATTATTCACTCTTTGTTGTGTGAAGTTTATAATACATGACATATGTATCAATACAATGACTGAATAAGTTTCATTAAACTACATGTCAGCGACATGTGAAACATTTAACTTAAGTATTTTTTTATACATTCGAAAGGAAATTTAACTCAGTTCATTGAGTTGAATCAGTTTCTTTTATTAACAAAACAAGGCAATAATTAGGGGGAAGAGAATTACTACCTCCATTCCTATTATAACTTCCAAATTGTTTGACACACAATTTAAGATATTGAGTATTGTGTGGTGAAGAATTGTGCAGAGGAGAGAGAAATGTTGTAAACCACAAATTTTTTACCAAAAGAGAAAAATGGAAGTTTTAATTGAAATGAACAAAAAAAGTTTTAATTGAAATAATTTTTATTTCGGGTAGACTCCTCACACCTGCCGCGTGCAGTATCGTATGATTCCAATCCTAACAGTAAAAACAGAATCTAACTCTTCCCGCTCTTAAATATGAGCACTGCAAATTTCTCTTCAACAATCCAACGCTCTCTCCTCCTGACTTCATCTCTTTCTCTTCAAGAAACTCTCCCTCTCTCGGATAAACAGCCATGGCAATGTCACCTAATCTCTACGTCGGCAATCTTCACCCAGACACCACCGAGGACGACCTCAGGGATGCATTTTCTTCGGTCGGCCCATTGGATTCCGTTCTCATCCTCCCTCTCACTCACAAATCTCTTTGTTACGCTTTTGTCAGCTTCTTTGATCTCTCTCAGGGTACGCAACACCTCCATTTCTTGATTATCTTGCTTCTTGTTTTCGTGACTGAAATTTGCATTTTCTTAGTTTATTCTTACATTGAAGTGTAGTTCAGCTAAGTTGGACTTAATGGTTTGTCTTAAGATTTAGATTAACTTCATACTGCATTGACTCCCTGTTTCTGGATTTTTATCCCATATTCTTACTGCAATGGGGTAGATTCAATTAGAGTCTGAATTTATGGAATTATGGTTGTTTATCTTACAATTTAATTTAATTTTCTTGCCTAAATTGGCCCTCTGTTTCCAGGAATTCTTGGATAGATCTTGTACTTTCTTGCTCTATTCTCATCCCAAATTATTACATTGGAGTAGATGCAGTTAAATTGGATTTAGGTCTGTTAGTCTTAAACTCTAGGTTATAGTTCTTGCTGCAATTGACCCTCTGTTTCTGGATTTTAATCACCAAATTTGTAAACTGGAGTAGATTACAGTAATCTGTATTGCAATTTAATGTATATATCTTGCTCAAATTGGCCCACTGTTTCTTGGTTTTCCTTGATAAATTTTTCAATATCTTGGTTGTTTTTAATCGCCAAAATTCTTACTATGCTGGAGTAGATTCAAGTAATTTGGATTTAGGTGGTCTGTGTCCTACAACTTAATCAATATCTCCTGCCGCAATTGAAATTGACCATCTATTTCTGGCTTCTAATCCCCAAGTTGGTTTGGCATTAGTGTTATTTTTTCCTTTTGAGTTTAATTAATATTTTGTTAATCAGCTTTGATGGCTGTGACACACCTGAACCATAAACACGTGAGAGGAAAGCCGATGAGGATCATGTGGTGGCAAAGATATCCAAATATGATATCAAAATCCGGAATCGGGAATGTTTTTGTTAAAAACCTTCCTCCTTCTGTAACCAGCGATCAATTGGAGAGGAAATTTAGTGGATTTGGTACTATACTCTCTTGCAAAGTTGCAGAGGATGAAAATGGGATGAGCAAATGTTTTGGCTTTGTTCAGTTTGATTCACAGCTCTCTGCCACTTCTGCTATCACTCATCTCCATGGAACTGTCTTTAAAGGGAAGACGCTGTACGTTTCCTTTCCCCATTCGTTCATTCATTTATTCATGCATTTATTTTACCTTTTGTTTTATGTGATTAACTTGATTTGGGAAAAACATTGGTACTTTTCAGATATGTGTCCACATTTAAGAAGAAAGAACTAAGAGCTTCAAATCTGTATGTGGGGAACCTAAGTGAGTCTATCAGTGAAACGAAGTTGGAAGAAATATTTGGAATTCATGGAGAAGTGGTTTCAGTGAAAATCATTCGCCGTGGTGGAATCAAAGTGTTTGGCTTTGTAAAGTTCTCAAGAGCAGAAAATGCGAAGGCAGCTATGGATTCGCTTCATGGGACTGCTGTTGATGGAAAGCCTATGCATGTGGCCTTGGCATGTTCCAGGAAACCAAACAGGCCACATCAAATTTTCACTTCACCATGCAACAACTCACTTTACGATATCCCTACTTACTCAATGCCTGTGCCTATTGAGTACTTCAATCATTACCAGCCTTCAGTCTGCCAACTCTGTGCCACACAACTCAGTACATATGTGAGTTATTTTGTCTTATTTCCTATTTTTCAGTTGTTTAGGTGACGTCTGGAATGCACAAAATGGTAATATGTTTTCTTTGACCTTGGAAAGTACAAACGAAAAAGGAAACCGTCTAGTTTTTCTTAAGAGATGTTACATATACTTGTAGTTTTGCCTTGATATGATTGAAATTTTGAATAAAATGAGTTTGAATGAATATCTAAAGTTCATTAAAGGATTCTGAACCATTTTTATTTTACTTTTCCCCAAGTTTTCTTTCCTTCCAAATTTCTGCTCTATTCTTTCCCTAACATCTTCATGTTTCAAATCTGACCTTCAGTCTTAACGGTGAAAATTGAATTAACAGGAATGGCAGTTGCCTATGAGATCTCCTCCGGGTATTGCTTTACCCCCTCCAGAAGCTAGCTTGGGACTCGGAATATTGACGTAGTTAGGACCCACAAGGAGATTAATCAGGACTACTGTTTGATTTGGAAGCAAACGACTTTGTCAAGTCGGCGTTTTAGAAAGATCAACTAGCCAAGTACTATCACTTGTTTCAGCCAATAATCATCATTTCCACAACACTTTGTATATAACGAATTCTACTCGCCTATTAGTATATGCTGATTTGTGTTCTTCGTATAAATATGTTGAGGCTAAAACGCTGATACATAGGTAAAGGCACGTTAAGGATATATATAAATTTGTTTTCAAAAGTTCAAACAGGACATACTGATACATATCATGAATTTAAGATAAAAAAGTATGGCAGACATGTGATCTTTTATATGAATAAAAAACAAACATAAGAGTAAATAAAAGCACTAAAAGTGGTAGCTTTAACTTGAATGCACACAAAGTAGGGCAACTCAGCCAATGAGTTCAATGCCTTGGGTGATCAATGCGTCTGCCAAGACCTGATTGGCGGCCTCAGAAGGATGGACGCTGTCCCAAAACACGTATTGAGTTGCGTTGCTGCAAGTCCCCGGTGACTTGGAGTTGCACAACAACACTGAGGTCTCCACTGTGCCTGTCCCGCAGCACCCTCTTGCGGCTTCAATAAAACCTGTTTGGTGACAACAAAAAAGTCTCTTAGCCCTTTGCCCACCTCAGGCAGGCATTTTATTAACCTAAACAGCTAAAATTTACATATACAAAAAGCATGACACATAAAATAGGATAGAGCAAGAGGGAGTATCAAGTATTTTTTATTTGGTCCAGTATGTTTTCACAGAGTTAAAGAGTAAAATAATAAGGGTGATGATCATAGGAGAGAACAAAGTAGAAAAACAATGAAATAAAAAATTAAAAGATAAGAGTGGTTATGTATCTCTAATATGGTAAAACTTGTTCAATTAGGATACTGGAGTACTGGAGAAAAAACTTTCAAAAAGAGATATGTGAAGCAAATAAAAAGGCAGAGTGTATTAAAGAAATTAGCTAAAGAAGTAGATTTAGTTGATCAAAGAATAGTAATTACTAGTCTACTACAATGAAGTATTATATAACTAATTCCAAAAATATGTTTATATAAAATATTTTTCGAGAAGTCAGCAGGTTAAGCCATTCTATTACAATTTCAGCACATTCTGCCATTTTAGACCTTACCAAACAAGTCCTAAGTTTCTTGAAAAAAGAGACAAAATCTTGTGCATACCGGCACTTGAAGGGGATTTGACTAGATCGTAGAGGGGCTTGTAGATGTCGAAGACAACGAGCTTGAGCCCAGGAAGGCTCTTCTTAAGCTGTGTTGCTGCTGCATTCACTTTACTGTTGAATTTCTGCGCGTTCTGGTTGATATAATCAACACATCCACTTTGATGAAAACCAAATAAGTTTCTTGCTGCTGGAAGACATCCCAATGGGGGCAGTGAAGTCACACCAATTTTCCTCGCTCCCAATCCATACAAATCCTGTTTTTAACAATCCATTAATCACTAGCTAAGAAATGAGTCACTTTAGCTTCTAGCTCTATAAGGCTTCGGGTTGAACTCTTTAATGGGTTAGATTCAATTTTTGAAAAGGTGCACAGTTGATTGTCTAGTGAGTGTTAAGTCATCACGGCGAAGTATAATAGTACAAACTCACACGTAAGGGTTACTGGGTTAGGACTATGCATCCTATCAGGTTGACTTTCAGTTAAGCCTAAACCATACCATGGTATAAAAGTCAACATTACGCTCAAATGAATGAACTTCAAATCTTAAAGTAGTAATTACGTATTTACGCGGAATTAGGCAGGAATGGTATGCATACCTGGACAAACTTGCTGAAAATATCAACTAGATAGGATCCATATTGGTCAGCAGATAAGACTTTATTGATGTAAGGGTTGATATAGTAATTCTGCAAGAAGTCACTGTTTCCAGCTCCCACAACATAGAGAGCTTCCTTAATGATAGAAGAAGCCTTGGTGCTGCCTGCCACACTTACTAGCTTACTTTGGTACTCCTTGAAATACTGCAGCTGCTGAGACAGTGGAATTGCATGCTGCATAATAATAATAATAATAATCATTCACTGTCCCAAATTTCATTCATTAGCAATCTTGTTTTAGAATGACTCAATAACCATAATGATGAAGCACAAAAGAAGTGGATTTAATTCAGTCATTTACACTAAGGTATGCAGTTTTATCATCATAGCCAGATCCAGCTGAGGCAAAATTGGCGCCAATCAGAAGGTTCTTCCCTGATGCTTGTGGGCTAAGGTATGCCGCCGGATATTTAGTGAACCCCAAAGTGTCAGCTGCATATAGAGAGAGAGAGAGAGAGAGCAATATGTAAGCTTGTGTTTAACCATGTCACATCTTATTGATAAATTAGAAAAGAAATTTTGTCTATTCAAGATCCAAAGATATGTTTGGTTACTAATGAATAATCTCCAACATGAAAACTGTCTTTTTAGAACATCAATCTAAGGCTCAAACAATCATGAATTTCAAATCTTTTTTATGTATTAAATTTAATAAAGAAAAGAATCTGAGTTTGAATAATTCAACTATTCGTTGTAGACTAAAAATTACCCAAGATTTAATAACTTTAAATTGATATTCAATACCTACCAATACTAATATGTGTATATTTTTAGATAATAAATTCTGGTTTTATGCTAACATGAAAATTTTCTGTTGTTGTTTATGGAACAAAATTATTCTTGCATGTTGTTGATCTCAACTCTCAAGAATGCAAAATTTCACTTTAGGACATCAGCTCAAGATAGGATCATTACTTTGATATCTTTTTACAAATTAGATTTAGTGAAGAAGGGAATCTGAAGTTAAGTAATTCAACTATTTGCTATAGACTAAAATTGACCCCAACTTGAAAAGTTATAATTAAATTGACAGTCAATATAAGCCAAGACTGAAATTGCGCAAACATTAAAAGCTTGAATTGTGATTTATATACGAAAAATATATATTTCAGCTATTCGCCATTGACTAAAAATAACTTTAACTTATTTAAAAAAAACTAACTTTAAATCCAACCACACCTCTGCCGATTATGTCAGCACTTAAGCGGGAATTTTAGCTTGAAATTATAGTGAAATAGTTTGACTATCAATTTCTAGTATCTAAATATGAGACTATATTAGTCCATAACCAATGAAGAATTAGATGTTAGTATTCAAAGTCAATTCCCAATGTTCTTAAAAAAAGCCACTTACCAATAAATAATTTATTGAAAATAATTAGAAATAAATAAGATCTGAAGTTCATGATGTTATTTAGTTTTGGATTGTTCTTTTCAATCATTATATCCTAATTGATCACTTCCATCAATCATTAGGCCTCAGTAGAATGATTGGGGAAACAAGAATTTAATTAATTACTTCTACGGAGTATATTACAATTGTCAATCATGATTGTTGAAAACTGATTAACCTGTAATATCAGTGGCTAGTTTCCCATTGCAGAACCTTCCGGTGGGCTCATGATTAGCGAAATCTCTACCATAAGGGGGGTAATTGGCCTTGAAGATTGTGTGAATGTAATCATTGTTTCCAGTATCAACAGAGGAGTCTCCGAAGCCCATAATGGCCGGAACCAGTGGCTGAGCACCGCCGCCGCCGACCAACGCCCCCACAGATATCAGGGCCAAGAAAAGTTTCCCGAGATGACGACAGCCCCCCATTTTCCAAGAATCGGTAAATTTCAGGATTTAGAGAGGTAAGGAAAGATGGGTATTCCAGAAAGGAGATATTTTGGAGGGTATATAATGAAGCAGGCATTGAAGGAGGAAGGTGAAAGTTGAGAGAAGCCATTAATTGCAGTGGAAGAAGTAGTTCGGCCTTCATTAATGGCTTGATCGAAGTGTCTGATGTTCCATGTCTCTAATACAGAAATTTTCTTACTTTATTTCTCACTTTCTTTCCTCACAGAGGTATAGTCAACTTCGTATAATCATATGGACTGGCAGAGGGGAGTGAGGTAGCTAAAATAAGCTGGATGCCATTAATGTGGAGCTGTAAGGTCCTAAAATTCTACTTCTTACGAGGGCAGCGCCAGTTATGCAAGAAGTTGTTGCGAGGGGAACTGAAGGAGGACATTAATAAGGAGGAGAAAGAGGATAACAACGTTGACGCCCTGCGGCGGCCCCACGGTGGTTCGGGTCGGAGCATATGCAGATAGTTAATGGGGTGGCATGTGGGACAGATATTCTGCAAGGATACGTTTTTGGAATGGATGAAGTCATAGAATTTGCTGAAATTTGTACTTAGCTCATACTAGTAGTTGCATTGAGGGGTTGAATTGGTCATATTTGATGAAAAACTACAACTAAATATGGAGTAGTAAATGTAGTGAAATTTATCGTAATAACCAAGAGTTTAAGAGTGAAATCAAAGTTTGACAAGTTTAATGGGTTAAATGCACCAAACCCCTTCGTGAAATATAAATTCGGCGCATTAGCCCATGTGATTTAAAAAAATACGTCAAACTCCCATGTGTTTTAATTAATCATGCGCAAAATCCCCTTCAAGAACAAATCTTACAATTTTGAAATCACTTTTTTTTAATAATATGGTTGAATATGCAAGTAACTTTGTCAAAATTTCTAAATTATTCAAAAAAACTAATCATTTTTCATCTTTTTTGAAATTAAATTTGTTCTTGGAGGAGGTTTGGCGCATGACTAATGATAACACAGGGGGGTTGACGCATTTTTTAAATCACAAGAGACTAATGCGCCGAATTTATATTTCACGAAAGGGTTTGGTGGATTAAACCACAAGTTTGATTGACTAGTTAAATACGAAGTAAGAATGTTGAAAACTTGTGATTGAGATTTATTGAGAAATAGAGAAATAATCACAAAATTTTCATTAATAAAATGTGAAGGTTATATTTTCGTCATTAAGGGTATTTTATTCATGTTAATACTTCGTATATTTTTAGTCCTATAATTTTTTTTGAAAGAAACTGACTTATATACTCCCTTCGTCCCTAATAACTTTGCCAAGTTTGACCGGCACGTAGATTAATAAAGTAAAAATTGTGTGGTTAAGGTTTGTGCAGAGGAGAGAGAATTAACTAGCTGGAACCACAAAATATTTACTTAAAAGGGAAAGTGACCTGACAAAGTTAATCGAACATTCAAAAAAAGAAAGTTGACAAAGTTATAAGGGACGAGAGGAGTATTAATTATTAAATAACCAAAACTTGGGCAAGTAACAAAATGATAAAGAGTCACCTCTCAACCACAAACATTCGAACCAGACTCAGAGACAATCACCACACAAAAACAACATGCCTCGTTGATCCTATAATGGACATAATTGAACCAAAGACGATCAAAATAGACTTTTCATCACTCGACCCAAAACTCTAGAGTCCGACAACAGTAAAACAAAGGCACTACCAACATAACATCCTGATAAACACAAAATTAAAAGAAAACCAAATCTTGTAGAGTTGAATTGCTTTCCCAGAATCACTAGGAGTTTTTTTATACAATTCTGTATTGTTTTAGTTTTATTTAAGAATTTTTTCTTGTTCATGTTAGATGGAAAGAAATAAAGTTTACTGGTCAACCGAAAAAACAACTAGCAAAGTGTTCTCTATTGCAAGTATATTTTATGATTAAGATACACAAATTTTATGTTTAAAGAACTAAAATAGCCAATATTGTGTCATTTTAGCCAAGATGTTCATGCTCAAAGAAATGTCATAAGTACTTACGACATTAATGAGCAATTCAATGTATGGAGTCGTGAAATTGATTATTCATAATAATTGATTTTAGAAAGGCAATAATTTGAAAAATAAGGCTCCAAGCAATGACTTCAATCAACAACTATGATTGAAATTAGATTTCATTGGCAAGACACTAAAATGACGATACGAAAATATAAATTACCTTATGCATGTAACTTATATTGGATATGTTTTAATGTATTATGTACGATGTATAATTTAAGTTTAATTATAATATAATCCAGGGATACAAAACTGTCCTATATACATGAAATGAAAAAAGAATAGTTTTCTTCCTAACATACGGCCTACGATATGGTTGTGCAAGTATCAATTTGTAATTAACCCTACAACTTGCATTATTCGTGTGGCAGGTCACTTTGTTGATTCAAACAATAGTATGTGGACATGGCTACAACTTATTCAATTTGTTTTTAAGTAATATAATACATAATATATGAATAATATGACTACAACTTCTTCATTGTTAGCATACCAATTACCGTTCACGTTCGCATGCATGGGTATGCGTACGCAGGGTGGAGACAGCGGAGGCTAGCAAGGGCCTTGGTCCTACAAGAAAAAATTTGTGATATACTATCCTATATAGGTTTTGAGGTTTTGGTTCAAATAAGAACATGATCTTATGAAAAAAATGAGAATGAATCTGGATCGTTAAATTTGCGTTAAGTGAAATTCAATCTGCATTGATGAAACTGTAATGTGCATTAAGTGGAATTGAAATGTGCAACACAAAGGGTACGATACAGTGACATTATGTGAAGCTGAATTGTGCATTATGTGAAACTGAAATGTGCACCAGGTGATCGACATGTGCACAATAAAAGGTAGATCGTACTGTTATTTTTGTAACTTTTATTCTGCACATATTAGTTTTAGCTAATGCACACTTGAGTTTAAATTTTTATTTTGCACATTTCAATATTATCTATTGCACATTTCAGTTTCACCAAATGCACAATTCAGTTCCACATAATACAATCCAACGATCCAGATTCATTCTCATTCCTCTCATGGAAGTTTGTTCTTACTGGAACCACTCCCTGTGTGTGTGTATATATATATACAGTTGAAGGTAGCCCTATCTTATAGACACAATTTATACATTGTTTCTGACATGAATGCTGGAATTATTAAGGCTGTTAAAGATGTCTTTCCTTCAGCTGCACATGGTTATTGTGTTCACCATTTTGTTGATTACATTCGGTCGCAGTTTAAGGGTTCTGCTGATGGTAAAGAGTGGATGTTTAATGCTGCAGCACGAGCTTCTACTTACAAGGAATATCAAGAATATATGGCTTTGTTGGATTTGGAGGATCCTCGTATAAGAGCATATTTAGATAAGATTGGAAGTGATAAGTGGGCAAGGTGCATGAGTGGTCCATTTAGATATAATATCATGACTTCTAACTGGGCTGAGTCGATGAATAATGTCAATAATTGTGCCCGAGAGTATGCAAAAATGGTATAAAGAGCGTCGTGATTCAACGCATTCAAGTACAACTATTCTGCCTAAAGAGCGTGAACATGAGCTTATAGTTCTGCAACGTGAAGCATTTCGTATGCAGGTATGACATTGTGTTTGTTAATGTTTTACATTGCTTGTTAAATTTGTTGACATTGTGTTTAACTGTTTGACATCGTCTCATAATAAATCAAGATTATATTAGTTCCTTATTGTTTCAGGTGAAGCCTTCTTGTTCTTACGAATTCCAGGTTGTTGATAGGCGCTGTCGATCTTTTGTTGTTGATTTGAAGAAAAAAAATTGCACATCCTGTGCATTCCAATTGGATCAATTTGTGTGTGTACATACTGTAGCAGCAATTTCCAAAGCACCAAACATGTCATGTTATGATTTCATTTCACCATTTTATAAACGTGATGCGTTGTGTGCTACTTACAATGGAATTGTTCATCCAATTTATCATGTTGTTGCATGGGATGTCCCTACTGATGTTCAAAGTATGATCTGCAAACCACCTACTTGCGAAAAGAGACCAGCTGGAAGGCCAAAGAAGAAGAGAATATCATCTGTTGGAGAGTTTCCTACATCTAAAAGATCAAAAAAACAGAGATGTTCATGTTGTACTGGTGTTGGGCATAATCAGAAGACTTGTAAAAATCCAATTCCCCATATTTAATATTCTTTTTTTGCACTTTAGTTTACTCAGTACATTTTTACTCTTGAATACTATTGGTGTTTTTGACATTGTTTTATTTAGAATGAGTTGATTACAATCTTTATTAGCGTACCACTTATTTTTCAATCTTTTGCAATGAGAAAACATTTTTAGAATGGTATTCCAGTTATGCTTTTTAGTCATTGTGATGACATTTGCAATGTCATTAATTACTCATAATAGAATGACATCTATATAATGAGGTTTTTATAACAATGTTATAAAAAATGTTATAACAATGTCATCTATACAATGTTATAACAGTATCAATGTCACAGATATTGTAGATTTCTGGGATACCTTTCAACAAAATAGAATGTCATTCTAGTGTCATCTATACAATGTTATAACACTATCAATGTGAAAGATATTGTAGATTTCTGGGATATTTTTCAACAAAATAGAATGTTATAAAAATGTTATAACAATGTCGTCTATACTACTTGTTTTGTTAAGTTTTTGCATATGATTGTTTCAGAATATGATATTGATGGATAGTGTACCCGAGGAGTAACTTATCCGAGGGGTTATTACGGGGAATAATAAGAGAGAGGTCAGAGCAAGTAAATGTAGAGAGAGAAAGTATATTGTAAGTGTGGAGCGTTTTCAGCGTGGTTACAAATGGGGAAATGGGGTGCTATTTATAGTAGCAATAAATGCCGGACAGGGACACGTGTCAAGCGCCCATTGGCCGAGAGGCCACCTCAACTGGTTGGCGTTGGCAACCGCATGTGGCCGCATTTAATGCGGCTGTTGGATGGGACGTCTGTACAGGGTACGGTGATCTG